GGGGAAAGAAATGAAAATATTTACCTCATACTTTGAATTTAAGACTAATCTATTAAATAGGAATACTTGAGGATGAGGCCTTAGTTATGCTGACCTTCATCTTTCAAGATACAGGATCAAAACAGTCCATCTCTTTCTGTGCTTTAGGATCTTCTTGACAACTTAAGGTCAGTGGAAACCTAAGGTTAGTAGAAATACTTCAGTGGAGGTTTTGGGGTATTTTTTAAAAGGCAGATGAGCATTGCAACAGAGCACTCTCTCATTTGAGAATATTCTGATGGGTAGTTTATCCCTCTGAACTCCTGCTTGAAATCTGCCCCGAAGCAGAGAAAATATTTTTTATTACAAATGCTACTAATAATTTTTTTGGGAATATTTTTTTCTGAGAAAAAATTTTCTTCTGTTTCACCTAAGAGAACATTTCTGAGGGGCTCCAAGTGCACTCACCCTTCAAGACTTACTAAAAGTTCTGAGCTGCAAGACTGAAAACCACCACAGAAATAAAAAGGCCAAGACTTGTCATAGAAAGACATTAATTTTACTGTAAGTGCAGAAGTCTATGAAATAGGTAAGTGGAAGAAACAGACAGCAACCAGTAAAATTTTTGCCAGAAAAATAACCCCATTTTTTGGAGGAAAGAATGTAGCATCATCAAAGACAGTAAAATAAGACAAATGTTAAAAAATAAATATTGATGCTTTCTCTGTGAATATCATGCATGTATACAGGGACTTTACATCTCAGTATGTAATGTAACTCCTAATTCCTTTATAAAAGTGAAGTTATTATTTCATGAGACCTTACTACCCTAATTTTCTTAATTGCTGATCTAAATATTTTATGTCATTTTCTGCCCAATGGACAAATCTGTTGAGCTAGCTATAAAGGGCTTTTTCATACACCTTAAAAAAAAAAGGCCCGACAGGAGACACTGATGCTGAAAACAAGTAAGTTTCATAATTGGCTGAAAGCTTATACTTGATTTTTCTCCCACAGGAGCACAAGGGCTCCTTATTAAAAACATAATAAAGGTACGGATGAGTTCTTTGTTTGGTACAATAGAATATGATGACAAAGAGTTGTTCAAACAGATCAGATTTAGGAAGGCCAACAGCCAAATCAAACAGTGAGGGCTGGTAACATGGATGGGAACAGAACATTATCATGCCTCTGGGGATGACGGATTCAAATTATAATTCTTGCACTCAGTTCTATATCTGGGAAGAGCTCATATGCCAACAAACTGATTGTAGCTATAACTTCCCTTATTGCCCTGCTGCAACACCTTTAGGGTGCTTCTGTTAGTAGAAACAAAGCAGTCCACTGCTTACAGGAAAAAGACTAAAGGATAAAGATAAAAGGGAAAGGATAAACTTATTACAATTCTGTATATACAATAATACAACCACTGTAACTGCTTCAGTTTCAGGAGTCTGGTGAGCGTTTCACATTATCCATAAAAATCAGCCTTGCAACAGCACTACAAACTAGCATTAAATCAATGGAATGTGTATTAGCAGCTGTGAAATCTATGATCTGTGAGCTTACAGGCAGAAAACTTGAAGCACACAGCACACACCCCAATGACAGAAGATTAGAAGACCTTTAAACACCCCTTCCAACCCAAATCATTCTATGATTCTGTGATTGTGTTAAAAAAAATGGTTTACAGAACAGGTAGCACAGTTTAGGCACTACTGCCTTGGATAGCTACCAAGATGTTAGGCAAGGAACATAAATTTTGCAGTTCTATAAACATTTTTCCACCTTTCATCTGGTTTCTCTATTTGGATAACATGCTAAAAGAGACAAGGTTCTCTTGTCTCTCAACAAATAGTAGCTCAAGGTAGACTCATATTACTTAGATACTACTATTTAAAATGTCACAATATAGGGGAAGAGGATTATACAGAGAGAGAGACATGGAAACCTCTGCTCTAGAAACAAGAAAAGAATACTTTAAACAAGAGCAGCCTCATCATGCTATCATGCCTGTGTATATAATGCAGCTTAACCACATCAGGATGTGATACAAGTATAGTATACCTGTGTACATACAAATAAAAGCATATGTGATTATCACTCAAGCTGCCACTATGAAGATGTCCATTACATGTATTTAATTTCTTTTTCTCACATAAAATTCTATTCCTGCATAATAGTAGCTAATTTCGTGCCTAACTTCACAGTAATGTACTTATCAGGTTTTCTTCTGTTCATTGGTTTGCATTTGTTCGTTGTTGAATTTCCTCTTTTATTATGCAGTGTGTTCTGCCATAAGATGTCCTGAAGCTTTTGTTTCAGCTATTCAGACTGAATATTTATCATCAGAATACTCTACCTCAATCCTCACATCACCTTTTCAAAATTGTTTCTGCTGCTGAGTGCAGGTCTCAGCATGGATCCCTGTGGGATTTCACCAGTTCTTCCTTCTTAAAAAAAAAAAAAAAAACAAAAAAGACACAAAAAACCCCCAAAAAAAAACCCCAAAAAAAACCCAAAAAAAAACCAAAACAAAACAAACAAAAAAAAGGCCACTTATTCTTGCGTTTTTTCTTGTGTTTTAACCTCTGGCTTGTAATCTTGTAATTAGTTCAGCAGAGGGAAAGAAAGATGATGAAGGGACTGGAATACATCTCTTGCAAGGAAAGGATGAGGAAGCTGGGCCTGTTCAGCCTCCAGAAGAAATGACTGAGAAGGGATGTCATCAAAGTTCATAAATGTCTAAGGAAGGCTGTCAAGGGGATGGAACCAGGCTCTTCTCAGCCAAGGAACAAGACAAGAGGCAATGGGCAGAGAGAGATGCACAGCAAGTTCTGCTTAATATAAGGAAGAACTTCTTTGGTGTGCTGGGGACTGGCACAAATTGCCCAGAGAGGGTGTGGAGATAATGAATAGCTGTCTGAAGACAGTCCTGTGCCATGTGCTCTAGGATGTGCCTGAGCAGAGAGGTTGGACCAGATGACCCATTCTGTGATTTTGCGAATTTGTGTCTCAAAGAATATTCATTCTCATCCTGTATGAGAATAGTTTCTAAAAAATATTTTTGAAATATTTCTCCAAAAGGTCTTTGAGCTAAAATACACACATATTAACTTGATTATCCTTGTCAATATATTGCCTTCACAGAATATCTCTGAAGACTCATCATGCATGAATTACTTTTATTAAAACAATTTTTAAAAAAGGGTGGTTAAACTTTCCCCCCATTGTAATTTCTCTTTTAAAAAATTTATATTAAGTTCCTTCATATATAAATTAGACATATTGCTCTGTTCCTGTCAAATTCAGCCATTAAGTCCTTTTAAAATATTTGGTTATCCTGCCATCTTCCATTCCTCTTATTCCTGGGTTTCATATCACATAGTTCATCAGTTGTGTGTTTTAGTTCCCTCAAAACTCTGGGGCATTTGCCATAACATCCCATCCTTTGTTTCTTTTTCTTTTTTTTTTTCCCCTTAAAAATTCTCTAAACATTTCCCAGTCAAAAATCAGCCTGCAGATATATCTTCTGTTCCAGACATAATTATGCAATGCCCAATACGTACTAAAGAATCCTTCAATATAGGTCATGAAAGCTTTCCATACACTAAAGAAAGAAAAATTGTGAACAAATTAGACTATACTTTCTCACATAAGTTGAGTTTGGGAAAAAATTAAGTTTGAAAAGCTGCAAAAAAAGTCTGAGAAGTCTGAAAAGCAGATCTGTGTAGGCAGAATTTTCATCATTTGTGTCATGTTCCCCTGAAGAATGGCCTATTGACAGTGTGCCACGTGCCTTAATTATCTGGCTGCCAAATTTATTCTTGGATGCCAGATGCTCCCCATGATTTGTTTCCAGATAGGCTCTTTCTTACACAGTAGAGTGACAGGTGATATTTGATTGTAAAAGCCAAACATTCCAGTATCATACTAAAGTTTGAAAAAGGAGCACAGATTTGTCTTAAAAACTTCTCTGAATGAATGGCACAAGAATTAAGAACTGATAACCTACTTTTCCACATCATCATACAGGCAAGATGATTTTACAGGTAAAGTAACCCCTATTTTTTGCATCTTAAAGAAGGAAGACTTGTACAAAGGTTCATATAACTCTAAGAGTAAGAGCTTTTTGATTATATATGATACATGCCAGGAATTTGCTGTGAGGTATTATTCTTTTTCAAATCTCTCTTTTTTCTTTTTAAACACACACAAAAAAATCTGGAACCAATGTATTTTATTTTACAGCTGTGAATACTCTACTAAAACATACTTGAAATAAACTATTTGCAATAATCTTTGTTGAGAAACTATGCTTTATTCTTAAGCTTAGATAGTCAGGAAAATGAGTATTCTTCTAAACATCTTACTGTAACTGAGAACGCAGACAATCTTAAAATAACAACAATTATAATAAACAATAGTGGTTTTAGTAATAGACTATATTTTTAAATGTCATGGTTTTTAAAGTAATGGTATTTTTAAACAAAAAGCTAGCAATGTAGTCTAAATGTGTGCTATGAGGAACATAAGCATGTAGCTGACAGACAATCTCAATGAATTATTTCACTGTTGAATTATGAAATTATTGTGTTTGATATTATTACACACATACAATCCAGATCTGATGCAGATCACATTCAAGAAGAATTCCAAGCAGCCTGAGCTCATCACTAACCCTAGGCCAAGCAGGGTTTATAGATAATTATTAAATAAATCAATGGATTACACCTAGTTCTAATAGTTTCTATTGTGTTATTCTTTGCTCATTGTGACAAAGGTATGGTTAAGATAGAAAAGAAAATATCCGTTTTTTCTTTTTATCTAAATCATAGAGTTATGCAAGAACACACCCATGTGCAATTTCAGACAGATGAGCACAAAATGTCATGTACAGTTTCTTCTTCCACATCTGCTCTACAGGTGTTTTCTTAATTTTGTTTATAAAGACCAACTCCTGATGCTCAAAACACTTGTTTTCTCGAGGACACAAGAAAACATACGACCAATCCTCTTACCTTTAGCAGGTAAGTTTGGCAGTCACTGACATAATCATACTCCAACCCATCAAAGGTGTAATAATGTCGGTCTCCATAAATGGTGCACACAGCAGGGCAGGGGTAGCTGGTGCAGTTGAAGACACCTCTACGACAAACGCTGCAAGGAAAGCCAACAATCAGTGTCTCATCATAATGGCAGTCTTCTGCTGCATATTTTCAAGAAAATGCTTTCTTGTGTTCTTTATTTCAGATCACGCAGAAATTCAGGAATGGAATAATATTCTCAGACCTTGAAACAGAGAGCAATAAGGTGAATTGCTTCTGAGGATACCAGTGATGCCATGGCAAGAAAGTGCTGAATATTTTGCCATTAGCTCATCTGTACAATAAAAATGCATTAAAAATAAATGCAAAATCTCAAACTTTGCAGGGCTTATGCAAATATTTCCATCACTGCCCCCAGTGTAGATAAGGCACAATGCCACAACATGGTCATTCATAAGACATCAGTAGTCAATTTTTTCTAAATTTTGATAAAGGTCTGCAAATTTTCAAAGGAAAATACCTCCAGTTGTTATCTGTAAGATTTCAGGATACCAGACAAATATGAAATACGTTTAAGAAATTAATGATGATATTTTGTAAGATTACTTTCCTGTTAGCTACATTCAGTGGCTTACACAAATTTATATGAAAGTAGTACTGGCATCCTCTAGTTTTGTTTGCGTAAGTGTAACTCCTCAGTTGATCTTCCACTGTGGTTTTTAACTGATTAAAAGCTGCCATGCCAATTTTTTTTTTCATTATTAAATATACACTTAAGTGATTATAGATACTTTGGCTAGGAAATTAGCATATCTCTCTTTTACTCTTTGGCTGTCATTCATTATATTTTATTCTGCAAAATGCCACATCTTCATTTCAGAAACCAATATGTATGTGTGGAATTAAGTGTTTGTTTTTGACTGCTTTTTAACTTGGATATCTTAAAGGCACTCACCCCAAATTCTTCCTACTTATTTAAGCCTATCTGTAAGCCTAACAAAAGATATATCCTCTATCTATAAACAAGCATATATATTTTTGATTTTCAAAGTACACAACACATTTTCTGTATCATTTTCACTTAGGGTCTAGATCCAGATGATTTGAAGTATGCAAAATGAGCTCACCAGGTGTAACATGGGGTAGCTATCACTTCTCCTGACAGAAATTCTCTGTCTTTCCAGGTGCATGGACAACTGTCAGGAATATAACATTTCCCTCTGTGCTCAGCCATCCTTCAAAATAAAAAAATTATTAAGATGAAAGACTAAATCCAAAAGAAGATCAATGTAACTGAATGTGTAGCGTATTGTTGAAACCCCACCAAGAGCAACCAGTCTTCCACCCAGCTAAGGAAAATTGTTTCATCAGCAAAAGCTGTCCAAATCAAATGACCTCCACTGTGCACAGCTGGAGACTTCGCCAAGCCCACAGCTGCAGCTCTCCTTCTATCTGGCAAGGGGTAAGTTGGTGTGGGCTGCAGTTCCCATGCAGGAGTGTCGGTAGGGAAGGTGTTCCTCTCTGAAAACTCCGGAGAGTCTGGGTACCATGCAAGCTGCTGAGGTGTGGCCAGACTGCCCTTCGCACTCTGCTGCTCTGTCCTGCTGTGTCAGGAAATCAGCTGGACTGGAGTGCCTGCTCCTCTGCACAGACAGCGCCAGTCCTGTTCTGAGTTCAGAACAGTGAGCTGGCCTATGGCACTTGCTGCACAGTTTATGAAGACCAGTGGTGGAGGTTACTTGCCTACACAAGGGAAGCTCAAAAAACCAACGAGGTTAAGACAAAACAGACATTTCATGCAAGTGTCAAATCTAATTAAACCAATAAGCGACCCAGATATATGGTCAACCACACTTTTGCTCTCTCATTTCCACCTATTTAGGAATTTTAACTTTCTTAACAAAAATGTTACTGACACTCCCGGTGCTGTTCTTTAGGAGAAAAATTCCTGGAGTTGTCATGCAACACATGGCTCAAAGTACAATCTAGAGATTCTTTCACTGGAGGTTGAAATGAATACACAGTTTCATTTTCTTCACTCCATTACTAGTTCATTAAACGGTGATGGGCTCCAAGTAAAGGAGTCAAGAGTTCAGAAAATTTCTCAAGGATAGGAAAACACCAGAACAGATGGCTTAGGAAGGTACTTGGTCTCTGTCAACAGAAGCTAAATGACTCCCAAGAGTAACATGGGTATTGCTGGTGCTGCCTAAAGGCAGGAGATTATTTTAGCCCCATGAAGTCCCTTTCTACATTACTCTGTGCTTCTGCAACTCAGTTTAGCCCCATATCTCCAGCTCAGTGTAAGGGTGACTTTCAGTCTATCTTTGGGTATCTTTGGGTATCTTTGAATTTACTGTCATTCTCAGCTCATTTCTTCATGAAAATTTGGGCTGTTGCATTATTCAACTTCTAAAGTATATCAGAGACTTCCAGCATTTCTAATTCTTTGTCTCCTCTTCAACTACTAACTAAAAGAACAACAAAATGTTGTGCAAGAGCTTTAATAATAGAAAATGTAAACCATTTTTACTTTAGGAAGACCATTCTTTTGCATACTGGAGTCCATAATTTCATGGTTTTCCAAAGGAAAGGGTTTCAATACCACACACAAACTGCTCTACTCTACAAGTACCATAAATACCCAGGGTGCTAGAATAAGGTGCCAGTCTCCAGGAGAATTCAGGATTCCACCCCAAAAGCTTAGGTCATTCAGTCAAACAATAGGTAGTAGTAGAAATAAGGTTGGAAAGAAGAACCAAAGAGAAGGGCAACTTAAGAGAATTTTAAAACTACATTACAGTAAAATGTCTCACAGCAAGTTTTTAATGACTTTTCCACTTAGATTTAATAGCAGGAGATACATGTTTAACATTTTCTTGCATAAAAAAAGAGACTTTTGGAAACTAATTTTTAAGATAATACAGCTGGCCCCTTCCTTGTTAAAAGCCATACTCGCTTTTTGGAACCATGGGGCTGAAAGTCATAATTAAGTGTAATTTAACAATGAGGACATTACTAAATGCGCTAAGTGCTATACACCTAATTTTCAACCTCGTAGCAAGAAGAATGTTTAATCTCTTATGTAATAAAAACAATTAATGTGTTTTATTCTATTATTTGACAGAAGCTTAGGATTTTGCTTGTCTGTATTCTGGTTATATTTCAGAAAATAATCAAGTAATACTCAATTTAAAATAGTATGACTGTGAAAGCAAGGCTTTAGCTCTGTTTTTTTACTTTCATTTTAGTTTCTTCGAATTTTCAAATGAACTTTGAAGTCAATAATACTAGTTTAATGTCATGCAAATATCACAGTGATGTTTCAGTTTGTTACCAGTTTATTACTTTTACAGATCCATGCACTTTTTGTGCTGAAAATAATTGTTTATTCCCATAACACTAATGGTCCTGAAAGCTAAGTTCTCAGTTGAGGCAGAGGTTTTAGAGGACTACAGAATACCAGGCAAGAACGAGTGAAATCTTAAATAGCTATGCCTGAAATCTCTACCTTCACCAGTGCTTAGTCATCTATGAACATCACAAGGTGCTGGAAGGGGAATGGTGACAGTCTTCATCTATACTCTGATCTGTGCACAACTGATACACTGTCAGGAGACCACTGGCTACACATGCAGTGAAATAAAATGGAAACCTGAGAAAGAAAAAGGAGCACTCCACCTGAGATTAGTAGCAATTACAGCAATTTGCACAGCATATTTGTCTCCTCAATCTGAAAGTGCATACAGGAGGTGTCAAGGGAGGAAATGGAGACAAATGGAAGGAGTGGTGGTTGATCCTGACACAAGCTACAATAGAAGTTTTCAGCTTTTATCCTTGGATTTGACTTCTGCCAAGTTCAACAGACTGTTTCTGGGCACCAAATCCAAAAACACAAGCTGAGAAAACAAGAAAAGGACAGAGAGAATGAAGGGAAATAGGGCAGAAACCAGTCCATACAGCTACCCTCCCTACCCCAGGCTGGGTATTGACAATGTAAGCCAGAGCAGAAATTTAGGTGAGACAAAGACTTGGGCAGCAGTAAGCATGAGCACAAATGGTTTACATCAAAATATTTTGTCATGTTTGCTATTATATTCAAATAAAATAAACTGTGGAAGTGGTGGAAGTCATCTCCTGTCCAGATAGTCCCAAATACCAGCCAATTGGAACGGTAGTAAGCTTGATATCTGATGGCCTTTTAGCTGTTACTGTGCATCTGCGACAATTTATAGAACAATAGTTTCAAAATTAGAAGTGTGATACCACTGGAATTTAAAAAGCAAAAAAAAATTACCGAGTTGAACTGTGGAAAATATGCATTTGGCTTGTGCTTCAGATTGCTCCAACAAAACTTACCCAGGGGGGCAAATGCAGCCACTTGCACAGGGTGGTGAGGGGACACAGGAGAAGTTCATGGCAAGGTTTGCACAAGAGATCCCACAATTCACACCCGATGCTGGCAACCCAGGCAGAGGAGATCTGCAGTCATAGTAGATTTTTCCTTCAGGGCATATGTGAACTTCAAATGCAAAATGAAGGTTAAATAAGATCAACTGCTCTTTTAAACTGAAGGTTTTCTATTTGTTTTTGTTCATAATCTATTTATTTGGATACAAAGGGAGGTTACACTACAGTTCATATAAGAATGCAATTGGAATAGCAATCTACAACATAATCTATATTACAGACACATAAAATTAATATATGTTCTAATGTAAAAAACCAATAATATTAAGCATCTGGATGTATACATCCTGGATCTTACACAGTCCATTCTTAATGACAGAGCCATTATACTTTAGGCAGAAAAAAACCTTATTGGCATAATTTTCAAGGTACTTCTAAATCCATTATAAATGCATTAAAAATTTACTTTCTAGAAATCAAGATCTTAAAGCTTCCTAAACATGGACAGTGAGCCTAATTACACATATTTTCATGAGAACACATTGACCTAGATGTCACATGCAATTATTTATTTCTTTTAATTTCCCAAGTGACTGAGTAGTAGAACTTGCACTACAGAAATAAAGGGTAAACCCCTAGACTACTTGTGCTCCTAACCTCCTATTTTAAATATTTTATGATATAAAGTATCCCATCATTTAAATATTTATGAGGAGAAAACCAAATTACTATTCAATATCAAATTTTCTATTCATGCAACTTTCACATGGGATAAGACTGTAAATTACCTATGTTTTCTGTAGTGGCTTCAATACATTTCACTGTTCCATTCAAACATTGACTAGAAAAGAAAAGCAAACGCATGTTTATTCAAGGGAAAAATGTTTTGTAGCCACCATGTTAAAAAAATTATACAATTCAACTTAATTTGAACAACAGAAATTAGGAGGAGAAAGAGGATTAAAATCCAAAAGTTTGAGTTCCACTCAATATTTCCTTAGTGGTTTCTCATTCCTGATCTGTAGAGATGGCCTAAATTAATAGTTTATGTACTATGTAATTTCCTAACTTCCACTGAAATAAAAAAAAGCTGAGTATGCCAACCCCTGTGAGAATGGAGGGCCAGGTGATTTAGGATGCAGGTAGTATAACACAAAACCTTATCCACCATAGCTTACAGAATTTTCCAGGTATTTTGTTAAAATAATCAGGTACATAATTCAATTTATACTAGGCTCTCTTTTACTAAGTGTGGGGGGAAAAAAAAAAAAACAAAACTTGATACAATAAATTTTCAATCTACATGAGAAAACTTCTCAAACCATTTAAAGATGTGTCCAAACTGTGATACAAGAAGGATAAAATTCTTGTACTCAAACCTACCAGGACCCTGTTGGCATAGGAAGGATTTCTCCAGGCTGTAGAGCTCTGCCTTTGTAATGACAATGACAGCCAGATCTGTTAAAAGAATATTCATACATTTAGGTAGAAAAGCAATGAAATGGGATTTAAGGTCCCTCTATTTATCAAGCTGTTATGATATGCAGGTCTCATCATAACATTAACTTAATTCATTAACTCAATCCTTATATGTACAACATACTTTGAAAGACAAAATATTGAAGATGATACTCAGACTCTGTTGAAGTCAGTGGCAAAACTCGTATCATCTTCAAAAAACCCAGGATTTTCCTCAACCTCTGTACTTTCTATTTGCTGTTTCTAATATTAAATACTAGAAACAACAAATAAAATTTTATTTATTTTAATTATTATTAAAATTTTATGTTCATTAATAGAAAGCACTTTTTCTTCTCAGTTATGGGAGTAGAATGAAAACATGCAGTTCCCATTCAAAGTATTGTTAAAATAATGAGGTAGAGCAATTATCATAGCAAAATCCATTAACTCTGTGATAAAAAACAGACAGGTTAGAAGTAGAAACAGAATTACCCAGAAATCAGGTAAAAATATGTGAATAAGAAGTTAATTCCCACTCTTGAATAGTTTAAAACTCTCTTTATCCCTACAGTATGAACTTTACTGATCTTTTAAAAATATATGTTGCAGTGAACAGAAACATTTCTGTAACTACCCATGGTGGTAAGCTGTAAAATTTTGGGTGTACAACATACAAAACTGGTTTCTCTCACTGACCATTTCCTCCCATTTAACTGAAGAGGTTTGCAATTGAGACAGAAAAAAGACACTTCTAGCCACTTTTCCCATACAGTCTCTTACTTTTTGGATTGTTGCTTTATAGATTCCTTCTTGCTTTTTTTTTTTTTTTTCAAATGTTAAAACAAGTTTTTCACATGAAAATGCTATTCCATTAACTAAAAAAGTTTCACTACCCTTCTCTAAAGCAGTTTGACATATCTGCTCTAAAGTGAAGCAGATGTATGTACACAGAGAAACAGATGAGGCCTCACTATTGAGTAGTAAGACAGAATATTAAATCTTCACATATTGTTTTTTATCTTCTCTAGACAGTCTACATCTTCAGGGAAACAGCAGAAAAGCTACTTTAAATCTTGCTGGAAAGAAATACATATATTCTATTTTTTTATTACTTACATTGATACACAAAAGTTGACTGACTCTTCAAAATACTTCCCATCAGGACAATTACATCCTTCTGCACAGTCATCGGCACAGATATTTACCATAGAAAGTGAAGCACAGGAATGCTTACAAAAAGAAGAGCACTGATGATAAAGCATACCACTGTGACACATGACAGCTGGAGGTAAGAGAGGGAGAAAAAACAGCATACTTTTAAAATACGAAAAATAGAAAACAAAGTTATGTATCTTGGAAGTTAAAAAAAATCAAAGCAAGGTGGTCTCTTGTTGCACTGGGTTTAGTTGAAAAGCATGAAAAAAATATGCTGATTTACCAATTTCTTAAGTTAGAAATATTTAGATTGAGATGGGTTTTTGTTAAAATAATTCTTTGACTGGAATCATCTGTTTTGTAAACAGTAGTTTTCTGTTCTTTCTGTGTGTCAAATTGGGCATCTACCTAGTAATTCAGGCTTCCAAGATGTGAAGATGGTCTAGCTAAGGCTGAGGCATTGCTTAGAAAGAGAAATACAGCAGCTGGACTTCAATAAATCTTGTGGGTCCCTTCCAACTCACAATACTCTAAGATTCTGTGAAATGCTTTGTTTTAAATCATTACTGTATCCTACTTGTCCAATCACTGCCCACCATGCCCTGCCCACCCAGGGAGACCCCTGGCAGCCCAGCTAGCCTTTCCTTAGGGAATCGCTCTATTCCTGACACTCCCTGACTACTTTATCCTAATAGGGGCTTCCATATGATTTAGGGCTTCAAAGAAATAATTCAATTTCTCTCTGTGACCAATAGAAAGGGCAAACACTCTGTGTGGGATAGCTCAGGGGCTCCAACTCAGATGCCAAATTTAAAAGCTGTTACCATTCTCCCCTAGAACATCATTACACCATGGCGCAAATTCTAGTTTCCAGGAAAAAGAAGCCAGCCCCTGTATTTTGTGGAGTGATTGAAATTTGTAGAGTTTTACACATTTCTGAAAGATACTCCATTATGGAAATGTTACTCACCACAGTAAGACACATGAGATCTGAAGTCAATGATGACGCCGTGCTTGCCACAGACATAAGCGTAGTGCGCCAAAGCGTTGCACAGGCAGCTGCTTCCACACTTGCACGCATCGAAGCGGCAGAGCTGGTAGTACAGCCCTGGACTGATGTAGGCATGGCAGGGAGCAAACACGTCTTGGTTGATGATATCACAGTGAGATGCATACCCAGCTAAGAGAAGGTGACATTGTTTTAGTCAGATCCATTTTAATACAACAGTTAGTCAAATGAATAGCACAGAATATTAAAATCAAGCATACCAGGTGTGCAATGAACACTTGCATACCATATCTGTCTGTAAAATTCTACAGTTTAAAATTGATATTACAAGCAACTCCCTCCACAGCAAACTCCACTTAAGATAAAAATAACTGTACTAAAACATTTTTGCCTTCTTCTTATAGTGTAGGAAATTTAAATGCCAAAATAATATATTTCAAAAGAATAGTTAAAGAGTCCCCAAAAACATGGACTATGGTTTTTCTCTTGACATTCATTTTGTTTCAACACCAACAATGGCCATGTACTTCCTGGCCTGTGGTCTCAGTAAGTATGACAAAGCAGAGCTTGAGGGCATGCAAATCCCAAACTGGTCATACACCTTCTAGCAGCAATAAACCCTCCTCCAGCCAGCCACTGAAGCAGACACAAGTGGTGGAATAGCTAAGGAACTCTGTGATGTGGATTATATTTAAGCCACTTTTGAGGCTAAAAGAATGCGCCTCTCCTTCAACCTCCATGTTCATTTCCACACACACACATTGACAGAAGAATTTCACATTTTTGGACTCTCTCAGTAAACTAGGTTCAAGGACTGAAGTTAACTCAGTTGAAAATTACCCTGACAAAATAAATAACCAAACAAATAATTTTTTTTTCCTCATTAATCAAGTCACTATCATCTCAGACCTAGAAAAGATGTCTGTGCTTGTAGTGTGGTATGGATCACTTCACTCTCCATTGCTTTTTCACAGTGATTATTAGAGCATCATAGCAAAATTTGGGCTGGAAAGGACCCTCAGAAAGTCATGCAGTCCACCCTCCTGCTCTAAGTAGCTCACATTTATGCCAAACTCCACCTCCACTGAACTAGAACAGAACTCTGGGTGAGGCATGAAGGCTCTGAACTGATCTGGCTGAGATCTGGCTGTCTAGAGAAGACAAACAACAAGGAGGGTATAAAAACTTCTATAATTCCCCACATTGTTAGAGATTTATTGTTATACTAGCCTTGCTTCAACAGGCTTTATATATGGATAAATCCCACATCCCTAGTGAGATATTATGTCTGAAAAATTAAAAATATTAGACCACATTCTGGCAGAATTGGCAACGACAGTCTACTCATTGTCTTCATTAATTGAAAAGAACAGCAATGCAAAAAGGAGACAGTGAAAGTTCAACACAAACCATAGGCATGCCAACCAGCCAAAATTAAATCTTGGCCCAGGAATTTGAACAAATTCAAGGCTCTCAGATTGTTTGCATCAGTTTTTGTCAGACAACATAAATGGAGGATAAAGAAATTTTTAATGCAATAAGCATGGAGAAGCCAGAGACAGGACTTTTGATCTCAACACTGTCTCCTGGACTTTCTTTAACAAACATGTATCAATCTTTCCTCTCAACTGGTATAATTTACAGGACCATATATAGCTAAAAATCTGCATGTATAATAAACAGCAGAATTTTGTTCTCATTTCCAGTACACCCATCACTAAATGACCAACTAGCTTTTATTTATCAAGTACTTACTTCATTTTACATACTATATGTATGGGAAAATGTTCTTTGCCTATGCCAAAAAAAAAAAAAAGTTAAAAAGGAAAAGAAAAGAAAGTGTACATCTAAACTTGAAGCTGAAATACATTTATGTGCAACTTTTTCACAGAGGAAAGAAAGAACTGACATAATATTAAGATACAGCTAAGTGCAGACTCCCATGTAAAAACATACCATTTTGCTGATTCACGTTGCAGGGATCAACCACAGGGATATTGATAGGCATGGAGCAAGCTGAGGAAACCTTCCATGCATTGGCATGAAGTTGTGGGGTCCCTTCTATCATCCCTGCTGGAGATCTGAAAAGGAAAATATCAGCACTGCAAGCATCCTGCTGACCTTAGGATGTACATAGGTAAGGATGCAAGTTCATTAAAAAGACTTAAATGTATAGTCACATTGAACAATCAACTTGCCAAAAGAATTTCCATCTCTGAGGTATAAAAGAAGAGAGGGCTTGTGAAACTTTTTCCTCAATATTTTTTTCAAGTTAAAATGTTCCCACACTCCAAGTCTGCTGTGCAGACAAGTTTTGTGACATTATAGCTTGAGGAACTTTGGAGGAAATAAGGTTAAAAAGTAAGGAAAGTGTGCTCTTCTAATTTAAATACTCCTGTTGTTCAGAATTGCATTTTTTTACATTAAAACTTCATGTGGGGAGGAAAATCAACCAGTAGTAAGTGTCAGCCATGTGAGGATGATGTAAGTATTATCACCCACTCTTTTTCTCAGTGCTCATATATTTGCTCTGAAGATAAGAGAGCAACAGGAAAGGGGAAAGTGCATTCAAATAATATCATCATCCAGTAACTTCTAAAAATAATACGGTAGCTTCCTATAATTACTTAAGCAAAATATCTTAGAATGCCTACATTTTTGACTTTCATATTTATAAAAGTGACTGCCATTTTAATTAAGACACTTTATATTGAATAGTTTAATAAAGTGTGAGCATGTTAATGAAATTAAATAATCAGATGGTTATGTTCAACAAAACTTTTCACTTGTTATTAAGTACAATATAAATGCACATCATGAAACTTACAGGAAATCATCTCTTAAATTTCCATTGTAAGTTCCACATAGTCCTAATGTTCTTCTCTTCCAGCTGACATCAACTTGAACATAGATCCTCTCTCCATCTTTAGCAAACAGTATCTTCAAACCAAAACTAGTTTTCAGTTGAACAAAGAAAGAAGATATATTCTGAATTTCAATAGCCCCTGAACATAGCAAAAGAAGAAGAAAAACAAAGTCACTGAAACCCAGCTTCCAGGTTGTACTGGTTTACCCATTAAATAAAAAACAAATTTGAAAACTCAGACATAAAATGAAAAACTATACACAACCTCACCATCAGCCAAATATCCTCACCCATTCTCCATCTGAGCTTATTTCCAGTAACAACATAAATCAGCAATTCCAGCTACTGTTGACATTAATAAGATCTCACACCTTTCTGTACCTGTGAGTTAGCTAGAAACCATGCTTGCACCTCTCTTTGTTTTTGTTTTTGTTTTTTTATTTTAGAAGAAAGCAATGCAACTGCAAGCCTCGGGCAATGAGAAGGCAACACAAGAACCCCTTGTTTCTTAGTCTCCAGTGATATTACCAGAGTAATTAACAGATGCCTGTACAGTGCATTGAATCCTTAGATAGCAGGTTCTCTTTTACCACTATTGACATGACATCAGTATAGCTCCTTCCTTGGACTGTATGTGAACTGAGCCCCTATCAAATTTCCAGCTTTCCTTCCCAGCAAATCCATTATGTGAGGAAATGGAAATTTCAGTCACAGCATTCATTTGCTACACATTGTTGGGCTACTTGCAGCTGAAGGCTTAAAGTAGATCTGCCTTCATAAGCAGCCTCTACACATGCACACACACACACAAACTCAGGTGCACAAACCAAGAGAGGAGGATAAAATCCTTAAAGATGTCCTTAGGGGATCAGACTTACTAGATAAACACAATTACCAAGAATGTGACACCAAAATACTTTTCATAGATTATATTTGTTGCAGACTGTGGAAAGAGACAAGAAAGTGAGTAGGGGCTAATTCAAAAGAAATAAAATTAAATTACCAATCAAATTATGCAGCAGAATTGTACACATAGAGCATAACTGAGATATAAATTTCATTGCCATAGGAAACTGTGAATGCTAAAAGCAGCACACTGTGACTGGACAAATACAATGAAGAAAAGACATAACTGCAATCACCAGCACAGGACTCCCTAAAATCTGTTTTGCTGAAGGCTGGGTAAGAACTTTACTCTCACTTTACTATTTTAGAGAGAGACTAAAATTCCAGTAACTGGTCAATGTAAATTTCAAAATTTAGCAATACTATTTCTACCTTCAGTGCTTAATTTTATAACATGCTTTTAAGGCTGGTTTATTTTACTATCCTTTCCAAAACCGTGAAGTAAACTGTCTGAAATCACAACATAAGTCAGCAGTGAAACCAATATAAATCCCATGGAGCACATGGATTCTATTCCATTCTATTTAGTCTAAAAAGATTTAAACAAACTAGACCTTAGCAACAAGGTCTCTTCACCTCCTTTCTTTTTCTTACCTCTCTCTCCCTAAACACAAACAAAATAAGTGGAATTTCTAGGTACTCTGTAAGATAAGAAATGCAAAGAGATGAAGGCATAATGAAGAACTGTTTTACAGACGATAAAAGTAAATTTCTATAACTGTTACGAATATACTAAGAAGTAAGTGATTGTATGCTTTTATAAGTTATGTTTAAAGAAATCCCTTTTTCATAGATTGATATTATTAAAAAGTTTTGGAGCATATAAGAGACAGAATGTGAACTATGGTAATATTCCTCTTCATGCACTTCTTACCATTGAGGTTAAAAATTTGGTTAGGGACAGTTTGGATTTGACCATATCTTGTGAGAGTTACTTGTTTCCTCTCATCATCTTCAAGAACCAGTGTTATAGACTCAATGCAGGCGTGGTCAAAGTTCTAAGCAGAAACAAGTTTCACCAACAGAAAGAGGCAATGACATTAGTATTACCATGGAAAACAGAACCAAACAAACTAAGGGGGAGGGGGGAAGCATATAGAAAGGAAGTATCAGAACTGTCAACAGGTAAATCAGTTGTAAATTATCACTCAAAGCATTAAACAAGGCACTCAAAATTGTACGTATAACATCATAAAACATTGCTTATGCATAATCTTCATATACTAAGAGAATGCATTTTAGCTGTTACGGCAGTATTATAGAAAGTGGGCAAATGTTCCCAGGTACTGATACTGGGTTGAAAATTCCATATATGCACGGCCATCTTGGGTACTGCTCATTGATGGGTTAGCCATTGGTAAAGAAAGAGTCTGACCTGATCTGAATCAAGCTGCTGCAATCAGAGCACAAATGTAGCAATGCAGGAAAAAGAAGCTTTGGCACACATAAAATGTAGCAACAATCTCTGATTACAGACAAAAAGGAACATAAATTGTCCAGTATGATATTACAATAATTTATAAATATCTGACTATTGAAAAATTGTGACCTATAAACTATGTCACATGCATAATTTTAGTGTGCAATGCAGGCAGAATTTATGAACCTAAATACAGGACAAAAGCCAACACAGAATTAGCTGACACCAAGCATCTTATGCTCCCCAGGGACCCTTCTGTTTTCATCCACAAATTTTTCAAGGTGCCTAGAGTTCTACAAAGGGTTATTACCGGTAGCAACCTTATTTTTCAGTGGCTACCTAACCAAACATTTCATGCTTGAGGCCACCTGAAATGGAGAAACAGCTGTTTCAACACCTATGCAGGAGAAGGAGGTGCTTAAGAGAAAGGCAGAAGGCACCAGCTCATAATCAAGCTTTTGAAAGGAGGACATGAGAGACAGTCCCAGAGTAGGGCACTGGTCCTTGCTGAGGTGTTCAGACATCCCTGTCCTCAGCACATGATCAGCTGTGGGTCACAGTCTCAAGACTCTTCTCCTGAGAGCCTAACAGAATCATTAAATCCACTCTCATAGGTACGTACTCTTTATAAGCACCTTTATTCCTAAAGCCTGTTGTTGAATGTCTGCCAAAATATTTTCTAACAAGTATGTGTGGTGCCTAGTATCATAGATGATTGTCTAAAAGGCATTGTTCCAACAAATTAAATATGTTATATCAAATAAAATCTAAAGCTACAAAAAAAATTCTCGCCTAAATAGTGATGTATTAAACCTACAGTTCTGCCAAATGCAGCTTTTCCAAAGCCTGACATCTGTTGGTACCATAACTAAAGGTGTTTACACAACTTTAATGTGCATAAATTAGTAACTCTTTAGACTTGATCCCTCTAAAGTTGCAATAGCTTTTACAAAGGGCAGTATAACATGTAGCAACACAAACAATTACAAAAAAAAAGCTGTAAGATGGTTTCAGTTTATATTTTCTATTTAACATTACCAAGTAGTTTACAGTAGGACTTACAGAAGATTGCCTGAATAGGGATGGACTTGATTGTTTCAACATTTCAAAAAAAATGTGGCTTACCTGTCCACAAGGTGCTTTTTGTAAAGTGATTGTGAATTTGTTTTTTCCAGTGCCTTTTACCAAAATGTACTGGCAAATTCCAAGAAAGGTAAAATGACGTCCATCAAATGTCGTGAAATGAGAGCTGCCTGTGATGGAGCACTCAGCTTGAGAGAAAGAGTATAAGGAATGTTCACTTACATAACAATGTATCATTATTCTGCAAATCATGTAAGAGAGGGGGAAAAAAGGAACTTTCTCCTGATTTCTAAGTATACAATCCAGGCTAACTTTAATTTAGCTAACAACAATGGCATTTAGAAACAAATTATGCTAGAAACATCTATTTCCAATGAATATCATCTCATAAAGAACACATCCATGTGCGGCATCTTTTGGTTCTAACTAGGTGAGATACCTATGACTAAAATACAAAAGAATTTTCTCTTTACTACAATTCAGAAACATCCTAGAATCTTATTGTCAATTTTTCCCATGACTCAGTATGAAAGAGGACAAGCTTCTTTCTCCATCCTTCTAGGTATTGTGGAACTGCTTCTTACCACAGGTAGGATGCAGGTGTCATGAGGCAACACATTTCTGGGGTTTTTCCAGAAGCAAGTCTCCAGCTCATTCCCACTTACCACACTTTCATTCACACCATGGGATAGCATCAGAGCACACAAACTAGATCTATTTTGGCTGCAGGACGTGCTCTGTTGGAGCCCATCTAACGTGCTCCCACTACAACAGCAACTCTGTCCCTAGGACCAGGCCAAAGTAGTCGTAATGAACCCTCCACGTGCACATACAACACACACAAGACATAAAGAGTGCTTCTCAATGGAAATTGTTTTACATTACAGATCCACACTGTCAAGCCTGCTTAGGAACTGTTGAGCCTTGCTACCTCGTTCAAAGAGAGCTCCATAATTTGTACAAAAAAATCTTTCACAAGCTTTGTAATATAACCTTGTCTGAGGTTATATGTCGAACTATCAAGGGAATTTTACCACCTGTCTGCTGCATGTTACTCCATGTAGCTCATTCAACAGAGACATGCTATTTTTAAAGATAAGGATGATTATTCAAACATGAATTGCTATTACAAGAGAGAAAATCCAGCCCACATCACCAGAATGATGGTTTTCTTATTACTTACAATAAAGTGGCACCAGAAAGTGAGGAGATCCTTATACCTGGCCTAGGTATTGCACAGGCAGTAAAAACACACTATCTGTGGCAAATAACATTAAGCATAAGCAAGAGATAGAAAACAACACGTGGATATAGCACAGAGATAGGAGAAGCACATGAGAAAATGCAGGATGAGTATGATCAGCAAATAACAGCTTCACTCCAGCTAGCCCACAGCAACTGCCAATATCCATCTGCTTAATCTTTCTTTCTGAACTGGCAGCCAAAAGCCTTGGATCATATATGGTTCTGTTGTCTTTAGAAAAATTTATCATTTTTGTTATGAAGTGAGAAAAGAGTAATGAAATGCAAATACCTGGACAATCATGATCAGTGCAGTTCCAAATGCCACCAACACAAATACTAAAAAGGAAAATCACAAAACAGAGTAAAAATGTTCCGATCGTTAGCAAAATAAGTAGATTTGAGTAAATTAATATGCCTTGAATTCACACAGAATACCCTGTATATTTTAATGATACACGGGCCTCAGACTGTAAAACGTAATCAGCAACTATTATTTAAAATTTAAGTGTGACTAAGTTAAACTAACTATGGACAGTAGTCCTAAAGAGATGAAACACACAGGCTTTCACCTACCAGTTGCTGCATTCTTGTTCAATTTTTGAGCCTACAGGGAAAGCGGTTCCATGATAAACACAAGGACAATTTGACAAAGAGATACAAGTTCCATTTTCCATAATGAGACCTGTTGGGAAACAAGTTAATTAATAAGATATAAAGCAAATTAACAAACCCCAGATCACTGCTCTTCCCTCAAGAGGAGTGAGGGACTCAAACATTCCACTCTTCCAGGAGGTGACGTTATCAGTCTTAAACAAGGACCAGGAAAAACATTTTCCCAGCGAGTGCAGAGAGCCCAGAGCTCAGCTCCCTAATAAGAAGTTGTCACTGTAAATTGTTGCTTTATGAAAATGTTTGCCTTAAGCATGAAAAACTAACTGTACAGACTCAAAAATGAAAAGATTCTGAAATCTCACTATCTTTAGTCTGTCTAGAACTAGGATGGTTCATAGTCCATTCAATAATTTTTGTCCCATACAGGTCTCAGAAACTTTGGTTTCTTGTACAGAGCATGACCCATTCTGTTTAAACAAAATTTCTGTAGATTTTTTAATAATTCAAATAAAGTAGACTAAATCTGTGCAATATATTATTGTAGGAAGCACTAGTAACATTCCAGATTTTAACTGATATTGCATGCTGAGACACCTTTTTATTCTAGATAAATGTTTATCACACAATAAAGGCCAGAATCACTGTGACAATAACATCTAAAGCAAAATTTACAATAGTCATAATTTTCAGGCCTTAACTTTAACCATAGTCTATTTAGACATCATTATGATGTTGTATACTAGCTTTACACATATTTTCTGAAATAACATTGACAATATTTACCATCTGGACAGTAACAGCCATCTAAACAGTGCAGATTGCTGCCAAGACAATCCTTTTCAAATGTGCAAGTTGGTGGACAACAACTGATACAGTCACGGTGAACAAAGGTGTCTTCACACTTCTCAGCTAAAAAAAACCCCCATGGTATATTGAACATTAGTGCAATTTCTCCTTCCATTCTAGAAAATCCATTTCTATCAAATAAACACTGTGCAGCTCTTCTGATATAGATAGGTAATCAGATCAAGTAAAACGGATGTTTTGGAAGAGTTTTAACTGATGTACTATAGTGAAGCTCTTGTCAATATTTAAGTCTTTCTTTAGTAAATCCTTATATCATCTCTCCAAAATAAGTTATAGCTTCTGTGACATTCTGTGAATGTGTTCATATCTCAGCTAGTTCTAAGCCTTGTGCAAGAGAATGAGCTGCAACTGATGGGTGGTAGTGATAAAAAGAAGGAACTGGATTAACTACGTTAATTCTGTTATAGGGCCAGTAGAGGCTGAGAGGCCTTCTGGGACAAAGAGCAACAGCAAATCTCCACAGATGTTTGCTCTTTGTCCTAGAGTATGATTAGCACACATAATGTTTCAAGAAATCCTCAGAAACATGAATTTTGTATGGATCTAAATCATAGCACAATGGAATTAAAATATTCCTCGAGCAAGTCTTTGACTTCATTATTCCCCAGCAAGAGTGAAACTGGCTGATCAGTTGGAGTATCAGGTTTGAGTTCTACAAGGAAAAATATTGTCAAGATGGAATATTTGAACTTAATACATGGGATATCTCAAAGGTCATGTAGTACGCTTTATTGAAGAGTCTTACTACAGGCAGGAAAGTCATCCCTCCAGTCCCGCACCGGGGACCCAGCGTGAGAACATGCTCTAGCATACTCTGTCACTGCCCTGCAGTATGTTTCATCATCATCCACTCTGAAATGATAAAATAAGAGAATAATCAAGGAATACAAATCCAGTCTAAAAATTTCTGCCATGTGACACAGCACAGGATATTTCACACATAGCTGACAGCACTCAATCATAAAGGCACACAGGGAAAACATATAAAGGAATGAGCTATACTGAATACACTATTGTGGTTTTATCATTTGATCTCATAAAAAGTTATTTCATTTTAATGTTACAACAATGAATAAAACCACTAATCTATTATTTTTAAAAAGAGCTGCTTGAAGTGAAAGAGAAACAGGACCTTTTCTTGAAGACAACGGACAATTCAACAGTCTCAAGATCCCCATCTCAGGCTTCTCCCTCCTGCATGATGTAAAAACTCTGACCTACACTTACAAAAGACATTCCGGTTCAAGTGAGAACTTCAAGTCTCCAGTTGCCTTGAACTTAGACAAGAAGAACCCTATTAGTGGACTCCTGACCTTGTGCTGAAGTTCTCAGAGTCAGAAGTATTATCCACTGAATACTGTGGACAGACTCAGGGATTTACAGCACAGCCTTGGGCAGAGACAAGATTTCTGCCTTATTCTATACAGAAGAAGCTGTACGGTGCATTTTTACCGGAATCAAGTAAAAAGATATTCATTAATATTTAGGCAAGTTCAAATTTTATTCAGATGTAAGTCACATACAGTGAAATACCACCAAACTTTTGTTACTGTGAAAGTCTAACAACTCATATTTGCTGTGGAAGATTTGATGCCAAAATAAACTAGTCATAACATGACATTTCTATTATAAGCATGTTTATGACAGATCAACTGAATGTGCCTCTTAGCACACAGGATCATGCTTCCAAAATTAATCGTCTTAAAATATGTTGTATTGTGTTTGTGTTCTGCTTTCAACACATCTATTATCAAATCAAACACCACTACACTCTTTGTTACAGTGATCAGAGTCTCTCCAACTCTTCCTATCTAATCCAATTAAATGGGTCTTAATAGAAAGAATACTTGGAGTATACTATGGCCACACAAAAAACCTTCATAAACTGACACTAATCCACAAGAAGAGTGGTCTCTTTTATAAACAAAATAAGCCTAAATTAATGAATTTCTGAGACATAGAAATGTCAAAGTTTTTAACATTCACAAAATTCACAACACACATCAGATTGTTCACAAAAAATCCAACCCTCCTTAACACCACAGCACCAATTCAATATCCTACTTGAAAAAAATGGCTTTCATTATTCTTCAAAAGTCACAGTAAATTCCTGAGTTACACAGAGACCATACACAGGCAACTCATGTCTTTTCTGAGCAACACCAGTGTTTGCCTACAAACACAAATTCTTCTATCTTGACTCTATGGTAAATCAGAAAACTAAACATTCATAGAAAATGGAACTAAGAAGTTGTAATGGATTGTACTGAGGGATCCTTATGTTTAGTCTTGTGATCCTTTCTGTGTGCTTTTGATTAAACTGGTGATACTCTGAAAATTATATAGTCTGGAAAAAATCCTCCTATTTCTGACGATTACTTCTACATTTGAAAGCCTTACTAAAAAGAAAGTGGTACTTTGCCCAATTATCTCTTCAATTACTAGAGCACAGTTTTAAATTGAATTAATCAGGATACCAGGTTGCCTACAATGCCAGCAGATGAGGGGGTGTGACTCCCAATGAGTTGAATTTCTTTAGGCAGTGCTGAATGTAAGTAAATGTCACCATTTTGTAAAAATTCTACTAATTTGAATAATAGTGGTTATTCATAAAAAGTCAGTCCAGCTGTGTCTAACAAATAGCCCAGCTCCTCCAGTATTGTTGAGATTTCTTCCTAGCATCATCTCCACATAGTTCTGTTTATGGGCCTCCAGATAAAAGTTTCATGGGTTTTTTGTGATTAGCAACTCACCTTTTGTCATGAGTGATTCTCCATTAATTTACCCTACACTTATTTGTCCAGTGTATCCTTGAATCTATGCAAGCCCTTAGCAATCAAAATATTCCTTGTCAGGCTGGTTCTGTGCCCTTTGTTCCTACACAAATCACCCCCTGAGAAACCCCATCTCTTTCATTTTCATTTCCATTTCACTTTCATCTTCCCAACTTCCCACAATGTTCTTTCATTCTGGTCCCACACAAAAGACTGAGCATTCATTTCATGTGTCAAGTTAAATACACAAGAATTCCAGTACTTACCTGCAAAGATCATTCATACAGCTTGAAATGTAAGAATACGGATCTATACTTTCATGACAGCTGAGAAAAGGAAACTGTAGGAATATTTGGCACTTGAAGAATATGTCCTGTGCATTAAAGAGAATCAGTAAATGGAAGTTAGCCAATATTTTCTGAACAGGCATCATTCTCTTTCACTTTTTTTCCCTAGCCTAAGGTCCTTTATATCCCCATTAAAATTTGAGCATGGTGCTGTCTCAATTTACTATTATATCTCTTTCATTATTCTTCCTAGAATATTTCCTCTCTGCCTAGGCGTGCTTGACTGCATGCTGGTCCTAAACTACCTGGGATGAAAAAGTGTGAAATGGCAAAGAAAAGCATTTTGTGTCAATACAGTAGCTGACCTGCAACTATTTCTGCAGTATTTCACAGTCACTAAAATAATGAGGTGCAAGATGCCAGAACTGGAAATTGAACCCAAGTTTAAAGCAGTAATGAAGAGCTCTGCCAGCAGACTGGTGCCACTTGGCACATCCAATCTGAGCCTTTGTACTTTTAAGCTAGACATATGAAGAACTTCAGGCACTCCCTAGCAACAGCCCTGATCCAAATCTTTCCCAAAGCCTCAACATTGTGTATATTGTTAGATTCTTGTACCATCAGTAGGCAGGGAAGATTAAGAAAAGACATGTATACATATGCATGTATCTAAGCATATACATAAAATATAATTTATTTACCTCAGTGGATTCTGGATTGGCTGAGCAAGGACTGGAAAAATCTGAGGCAATAGGGACACAAGCTATATCATCTGAGGCTTCCACAGCCCAGCTATTTGCAAATTCAGCAATGTCTTCTGTATATTCACCTACTGCATAAAAACATCAGGAGACCAGCAATAAAAAAATTTTGTCAACACAAACACATAAGACAGCTTTGAAAATTTTAGTTCTTTTTCAATATGCTCATTACCTCAATCACAGATGATTTCCAAGTACAAGTCATAAAGAAAAGTAATATCTTTCTTTTTTTTACTTCAGGTTGCATTTTATACTACATTTAAATAAAAATACTGAAAAATACATGCCAAGGTTTCAGCTTGGGTTATTTTAAGTTCAATCACTGATAATTTCATAACGAATATACAAATAATGACAAGTGTAAGGCATTGAATACTTAAGAAAAAATACATTTGTTTGAAGCAATTTAAGTCTTTCATAACATTTCACAAAGGTCAGTTATGGCTATTATCTCCCTCCTTTCCCTTATTGCAGAAAAGCCCTACAACACACACACACACACACAGGATGCCCAGCTCTCCTCACAGCATGAGCATGGAGGAATTAATGAACAAGATGCACGACTGGAAGTCATGGCAACAGGCTTAGATACATGAACTATACAAGAAGGTTGGCAGTAAAAAAACAGACACAAAATTCCTGTATACTTGAAGAAAGAACTAAATATTGCATTTTCTCTAAATTCTTAATTAAGTTAAAAAGGGTATATTGCCTCCACTTTGAAGAACCTGGCAGTAATTGTCTGTGCTACAGTTATCTATATCCATGCATCACTAGGAGACAAGATATTGAAATTAAATTAGCTAGAGGGTTTTTTTTTTTTCCTACACAGCTGTACTATAGAAGTGTTAATCTAACTTCTAGCACAAGAGGTGCAAAGATGGACACAAAGAGATGCAATGTAGAAAGTCACAAAGCACACAGATGAGATATATATACTTGGATATCCACAAATAAATTACTATAAGATCCTAACAATCAGTTTGTTTTACTTAAGAGTGAGGGAGACTTAAAATATTTCTTCCTCTCTGACAGAGTAGTTCTTTATGTAGAAATCCCTTCCCAAACATAAAAGGCTGGGGCTTAATCTAGAGGCTTATTTTGTTTGTGTAAGAGAGTGAGAAAAATCCTCATATTTTCAAGCTTGTTCTTGTTCCTTTTTTTTTTTTTTTCTCCACATTAGTTGCAAGTACGACAAAAGTTCCCATGGAGTATTCCCTACCTAGGCTGCAGAATACAAGTTTAAAACCTCAGATTATTAAAACCTCAGACACAGCACAAACCAGCTCCTCATTCTAGAGGGTAGTAAGAGGCCCTTAGTCCATCATACCAACAAGGAGATACAAGGAACTCCCAGGAAACAGCTTGGAAATTTATTTATTTCAACTAGGATTTTTATGATGTTGCTATAAAAGAATGACTCAAGATGGTGCTCTTCCCTCCATCTTTAAACACAGAGAAAACCATAAACATTTGTTTATGTATTCATTGTTTGAAGGTATTTTCATCAGGTAGTGTTGATGTTGAGGCGGTTGTGACACAAAGTATAGACATTAAGTGGTTTCAGATGGCAACTTTTTATTCTCGAAGATGGCTGACCTTTTATACACTTTCTAATTGTTTATACTTCTTCTACCCTAACTATTGGCCACAATAATTCAGCATAACACGATTGGTGAAAAGTAACAGTGACTTCAGCTAACTTTCTAAAAATACTTTGTCCAGATGCAAAGTTCTCTCCTTATCTTTCTTCAGTTCCTCTCTTCTCTTGGTCTCCTTGGTAACAGCCTTGGAGAAAGCTCCTTAATCAGCTTCCTCTTGCTTCTCAACTTCTTTAGCTAACAGGCCCGCTGTTAGCCCCTTCCACAAGGTAGGATAAACATACCCCAAGTGTTTTGCTGAGCAAGAGGTTTAAATGCACGTATAAATACTTTCTTGAACTAGGACCTTTTCCCATTGCTTCTTTAATGATGAGGAGAAGTCAAAGTAGAGCAGATATACTATTTTACTGAAATAACTGAAACAGGACTGCCTTTTTACAGCATTATATTTATACAGCATTTTATTTAAAGTGAATATGGAAACTGTTCACACAAAGTAAGGGTAAGCTATTTACTTACTATTTTGAAGTATCAGGTCATCATATTTATTGCCATTAAAATTTCCACAAAGGCCACAAGGTTTTCCCTTATGATCTTCTGTCAGCTTAATATAAATACCAGAGTTTCCATCCCAAGCAAGAGAAAAACCAAAGGTAGTCTTCACCAGAATATAGTCAGCCAGCCTCTCAATGAAAGCATTTCCAACTGTCTGAGGCAATATTAATCTGGAAAAATATAGTCTACATCAAAGATCTCAGACTAGATGAGGTTCATGCTAGAAAAATACCACATAAAACATTACCTTCTAACTCAACACTTTTTCCTGAGTGTACACAGTCACTCCATTAAATTCTTCATCATGTTTTTACTATCTTATGTTTACTTCTCTCTATCAACCATCGAGAATGAGTGCTTTCTGCTGTATCACCTATCAGTTGTACCAATTATGGGCTTGAAAGAATAACACATCTTTGCTTTTAGAGCCTGGCACACCGCATTGAGGAATACTTGAGTGCACGAGTATGCTGCATTGGGCAAGGAGACCACCAGCAGCCCTCTGGGCAATGGGTCACCACTGGGTTAGACATCAGCAAAAGGAGGAACTTGCAGTACACAAAACAACACTGACAAAAAAGTTGGAACTCTTCCTCCTTTGGTGAAAGACCACTGAACAATAATAGAGACAGATCTAATCCCAGGCTTGCAAAGTTGCTTCTGTTGGGTTGAACAGTATCACTGTAGCTACCATTCTCAGATACTAAAGGAATTCCAAAGGGGATGGCAAAAGCACGTCAACAACTTTCTTAAAATTTCTTTACTTTATCAACCAGTAAAATATACTTATGATAGCCTTAAGTGCATCTTTTTACTTACAAAAAGAAAGGTAAATTTGGAGGTTTGATGTACCTCAGGGATATTTTGTGGAGTTTTTGCCCCAAAGGGGCTTTAGATCTTTGTTTTAACCAGTTCAGACTCATTTAGAAGATCATGTCTTATATTAGCTATAGCTACCAAGAATAATGATTGCCTTGTTCAAAATGCTATCAGTATGCACCAGGGATTAGATGGGACTGCCTGAAACAGACTTTGTAAAAAGAAGGAATAAATAATTGTTAGGTTACAGCTGAGAAGTTGAACACAGTACATGCAGGGAGTGTATTCTCATGTATTACATCAGTACTGTCACAGCTGCTCAGACTAGAGCACTATCAGCCCCAATACAGAACAGCAAGGGATCCATAAAGGTACAGATCAATTTATTTTATCTGGATTGTGCAAGAATCATCCATTTCCCAAACCCCACATTATCTTTTTGCAATAAAATATTAAACTCTCCATTAGAACACTTACCTGATTCCACTTTTTCTTACTTCATGTCCAGAAATCATTATTTCTTCTTGGTTTGAAAAAAATAAGCTGACAGACCTATGACAAGTATATACTGAACCATAACAGTGAGGACTGTTATGAACCTTTGAGGGAAAAAAATAGGCACACAATAAGAATAAATGCTTGTCCTCAATAATTTTGCACCTTTTTTATTAAATTCATATATGATATTTTACATTTTTATGCTCTAGTTACTGAAAGAGTTTTAAAAATAAATACTAGAATATTGCAAAGTCACAATTACAAACATGTAAAACTCAAAGTTCACACTACACAACACTACTGAGAAATACAGCAACTGTTTAATAGTGCATAGCATGACAGGCCAGTGGTATAAATACCAGTTAAAGGAGTCAGGTGTTTTACACTGACAAACTTCAGAGACATTGTAGTGAGCTAGCTTATAGAGGCCAAAGTAGGAGCTTGTTACCTGCACTGAAGAAACACCCCTACTTCTCTGTTTCTAGAGATCTGAACTACAAAACAGGATTACAAACCGTACAGAATCTCAGTGTAACAGCAGAACTCTCCCTGCCTGCTGAGACTGGTACTAGCTGAAATACAGCGTGCCCTCCTGAACCACTCAGGATTTCTTGAGATTTTGAAGTGCTGCCACAGATTATGGCAGGCATATGAGTTAATGGATCTGTTAAAATCTGTTTTGCACTGGCTTTCCAGCCCTGCTAATGGAGAAAGGTAGAGTTTTCTGAAGTGTGCTTCTCTCCATTACACATGAGCCAGGGCATTGTCTTAGTCATGTATCAACTTCTGTTGCTCGAATACAGTACTCTCAGGACTTGAAAACTGTGGGTTTGTGCCTGAGCAAAAGTTACAGAGTTTTCAATCATCTCAGGGGAAATGAGCCACCCAAATCTGTAGGATGTCCAAATGTACTTCAAAAGTCCATGAGCTTATTTTAGACACCACCGAAGAGAGAGGTGAATGTGTTTTGAATCCTGGATGCCTATCATTACCCAGATTAAAACATAGACAGAGTTTAGATAGCTCCAATATGACTTAAGTTACTCTGTGTGTCATCATTCTCTGAGAAGGATGGGAATTTCATGACCAGTTTACTTGACAGTGCTGTTAAGCTAAATAAACTTCCAATTGGGAACATTTTACCAACATAGTGATGGAGGCTGTAAATGTAACTGTTTTGAAGAAAATATCTGTGAGTAAAGACATTCAGTGCTCATGAATACTTGAATTAGTCTTCCTTGACTGACACTAAATCTGAAAGTAAAATCCAGTTACTGTTTCTTTGAGTGAAATAAACTAGGTCAGGAAAAGCATTAGGAGCTTTTACATGTACAAAGATAATCATAATTAAAGACAACATAAAAGTTATTAGTCCTGGCAAATGGCTTCTACCATCCCATGACAGAACCCATCCCAAGACAGAAACACAAAATAAAGGAAAATCAAAATAATTCTTATGTTTTCTTCTCCTCTTGAGGGGTGGATTATTAAAGCCAGAAGGACCATAATGTTAGGATTTGGCAAGGTTTTGTCTCTCCATTGCCCAGTCTGTCTACAGTCTCACATTACTTATGACTTTGCTGAGTAAACATTTTCAGTTTTTAGTAAAACATTACATTTGTTCCAACAATTGAATAGAGCCTTCTCTCTTTCCAGAGCCACTGGAATCCACTGACATATTGATTCCAGATTTTTATACAATATTGGACTTCGCTACAGCACTTTCTGAAAACCTTTAAGAGGTCACAGCTGCATTTAGAATCCAAATAAAAGGAAATTGTGAAAGGCAGGTGTAACGGCATCTCTCTGTAACTTGAGTAGGTAGAAATGGCAGTTTTAATGGTAGATTTGTCTTCACTAAGTGCTGTTATCTGAGGGAAGAAGAGGTCATCTGTTTATAAATGAAAAACAGTCCTCAGAGCAGAAATCAGCATCTAGATCTGTCCTCATGGCTATGACCACTGTACGTACACGGGCCCAAAATGAGGACTCCTCTTGTCGCTTCTTCCCTGCCCAATCAGCACCAAATCCCAACCATTGTGAATAAGGGAGTAGAATGATCTTATATCGTCTCCACAGTAACCACCAGCCTGACAAATAGGGCATCTCTCTTCAAAGGGGGTACAGGTTTGAATCTCCCTGGCCCACAGTCATTAACCATGGATACTCAGCAATTTGAAGAAATTATTAAAAAGAGTGCCTTCCATACTCAGGTCAAGTTGAAAGCTTTTGAGCAGTTAATCTTCGCTGCATGACGTAGAGGTAATCCAGATTTAGAATGCAAATCCCTAGAGGGGATGGGGAGCAAATCCCATTGGGCAGGGAGACAGCTCCTCATAGCATGCCAAGAGCTGTGAATTAGGGCCTAGCACATTTGTGTTCCTCGCTATTAGGCAAATAATAGCTGTTTGCACTTACTCAGCAACTCAATATTTTTTTACAGCCTGATAGCTGAAGTTTACTGAAGTTCCTAGGGTCTTCTTTAAGACCTACCGTTGCTCCCAGAAGGGAGAGAGCAGATATCCCATTAAGGATCGGAGGAGAAAGAAATACTATTTTTAACATACTGACACTTTTTATCATAATTTCATTAGTATTTTGAGTTACTGCATATAGGTTTAGGCTTTTCCAGATGTTTTCCACATAAAAATTATATTTTTAAGTAATTAATGCCCAATTTGGTATATTTATTGTCTCTCTACTTATTTTACTTACTTCTTTACTTTTATGTTTACTTACATATTTTGTCTAGAGTATGTTTACATACTTACCCAAACAGTGTACTGAGGTTCCAGAGTACTGCAGTCTTTTGCAAATATATAAGAGCAATTCCCTGGGAAGTAGTAGTAGATGCCATCAAATGTTTCAAAATTATACTGTCCCCATGATTTGCAAATCCCATCTCGGTCCTTACCAGTGTTAGGTACTGGAGAGAACACACCAAGTTTACAAGAAGCATGGTCATCAAAAATTAGCAAGTACAAAAGATAAACTTATGCCTTCAACTTTAAATAAAGTCAGCACTCATTTTAGTCTTAAGCCTGCAGTTTTAGCCATGTGCAATCATCATTAAGTTTTTATTTGCTTCAGTGGAGACATTTTAATTACAAGTAGAGGCAAGGGATTTAGATATTCTGCACATCCTGGAAGACAATTCTTGTTGATCCCTACACACAGGAGATTCCAGAAATTAGTGTATTTCAATAGTAGGTAATTTAATTTGCAATAAACCACTGCTTGTAAAAATAAATGCAGTGGTTTTTGGTTTTTCATCTAACTTTAAAAAAAAGCTGTCTGGCTACTGATATACTAAACTATGGTCTATCTGTTATATATCTATATATCATTAAGTGCTAAAATGTAGGCATTTCTGAGGTTCCTTTCTGTATGTCCCTAATGCGTATAATTTTAACCGTCTTAACTGGCCAAATTAGAGGCCTGTTACAGAAGAATCACAAATATGCTGGTATCAGTATTTTTTCAAAATCTGTTTCCTAAATCTCCCTAAAACTTGTCACTAAACTATTTTGGCCCAAAAAACTTACCAATTTGGCACCTGCTTCCTTGAGCCTGAAATAACTGACAGTCACAGTCACCTGCCTCTGTGCAGGCTGCTCCATTAAGGCATTCCTGAGGACATGAACCTGCAAAGAAGCATTCCAGCCTTTTAGTAGATACAGTATTTTGCAAAGAGATTGAGAGATCCCAGTTAAATCTTTTTGTAGTTAAATCATGAGCCCCTATATTAGCTGAGAAAATTAATCAACAACTATCTCCATTTTTTAATATACACTTAATTTAATCCTTCATATTCCTTAGTTAAAAGAGAAGCAAGGTTCTCATTTGGTTCGAGACTTATAAACTAACAAAAGAGCAAAAGGTCAACCTCCTCCAAGCAAACAAAAGGTCAAGTTCCCATGTAAAGAAATCAAATCCCATTCCCACTGATCTCAAAATATACAGGGCACAGATCATTCTAATTCATTAAATTCAGCATAATTTATACATATATTCAGCTTCTTCCTCCTAAACATTACTGCAAGAGTACATTCAGTTTATGAACAAGCCAGAATATATATTTTAGAGTCAAAACCAGTCCTAAACAACCTTCCCCACATTCTAAAAAAAAGTCAGCTAAAAGGTTATTTCTGCTTCAGAGATGACTGGAGTCAGAGACTTTAGATTCCATGGGAATGGCTTGTTTTATGTTATAATTAGTAATTTTTTCCAAAAGCATTAAACAGTTTTATAGTCTGTTTGGTCTGAGGTCTATGACCTCCTTGTCATTCACTAATTATTCATTGAGGTGGGTCTTAATCATCATTCCCCAAAAGTGCAGAAGAAAGCTAGCCCCAAAGTCACCAGTTTGTGCAGATAGTTGCTTGCTTTCTTGAAATAGGATTAAAAGTCTACATACATATAAAAGCTTCCAATGTTGTTTATGGAGATTAAAAAAGCATCGCAAAAGGTGAAAAGTAAATTAAATAAACAGGCTCTTCCACTCCCAGTGAGGCACAGCAAAGCTGCTAGTGACATTAAATGGGGAAAAAAATGGGTCCTTTACAGTAAAGGGACACAGAAGCTACCAGTGGTTAGGAATATCATCCGTCATTGTGAAAATTCCTTTCCATGCTTAGCTTTGAATTTTTTCCATTTAAGAACTGCTTTCCAAATATACATAGATACTCTGAAAATACCAACAAAGCAAAAACTATTGTTTCTATAACAGCACTAATGGGGAAATCTTTTGCTGTTTTTAGTATTTTGAGCTGTAAAATTGCATATATTCATTTACATAATAAAATGCAAAAGAAGGCACCTGCCTTTTTTCCAAGGATATCAAAATTCCAATCAAAGTTGCTTAGTTAACTTTTCTGCAAAACAATTTCTTGAGCCTGCTTTACATGTTTGTCCAATACTTAAATCCTTACAAAAGCAGCTTCATGCTCATTGCCTGAGCACTCCTTTCACTTTGCACAACCAGTTATAAAGCTCTCTGATACTGCTACACCCTCTGACAAGGCCAGAAAAAAAGTGGCAGAAATTAAAAATTGTAATAGAACTAAACTTAAAAAAAAAAAACAAAATCTCAAAAGATTGACTTTCTTAGCTGTTCAGATTTGGTTATAAGGCCCTATTTTGAAAGTACAATTTTAACAGATTTTTTTTTTTTTTAATATTTAACATGGATAAAATGAGAAAATGAGACAGGACAGAGTTTTGTAGAGGTATACAGAAGAGGGCTTCCACAGCCCATGGTAACACAGGGAAAGAAGGCAGCATTTTCAGAGCTCTCTTCCTGCAGGTGAGCAGCACAGCACTGACCTCCTGGTGGACTCCGCATCAGGGCCCCATGATGGTGCAACTGAGAGGCAGATTGAACCTGTCAGAGCAACATAAAAGCAAAATCAGGGTGTTTGTTGTTTACAAATTAATTGATAAAAGCTTGAGGCCTTGCAGTCAAACACTGAGATGGAGCTTTAAATACAGAAGAGCAATTTGCATCTCAGGCAGCCATGGCACAGTCATAGGTGGTGCTGGAGGGATTAGCAGCCTGGGAAGAAGAAGCACAGTGGCTTTTGAGGAGATTGGGGAAAGATACAACTGCTATGTGAGATGACCACTGGCTTCTCATCTATGCCCTCCAGTTCCAGTGAATCACCAAGGTTCCACATGGGAAGTTTTTCATTTACATTTGATAGGAAAAGGAAGGGGATAGAGTGCAATCTCCTTTTTTTCACTTCACTCAAATGCCCATAGCTGAAGAGGTCCCTCTATTGCTTCCACTCCCCTGAGTCCTACTCCATGCTGCACCCAGATCATCCCATTATGGCCAGTCTAGTTGCAATGGATTTTGTGTTCTCCTTGAGATCCTTCAGAATTGCATTTTGGTTCATCCCAAACAAGAGAGAAAGTATATCTACCTGACCTGCCTCCTGTTTAGGCACAGGGAGCCTCCCACTATGAGGAAGCCCTGCATCTGGCCCAGCACTCTGATATTGCAGCTTGTCACATCACATTTTCCCTTCCAAGAACTGATCCCATTCCAGACTGAAAGTACCCTGGGGCTTTTGCCTCCACTAGTCTGACTGGAAAGTTTACCAGGATTGAAGTGCTGAGTACTTAAATATTTCCTACTTACATTTATTCATGGCCAGTTTAAATCCCTTCCTTTATAAATCTGGTCCTTTTTGCTTAAATAGCTCTTCTTTCCTCTGTTTGTTATTTATTTCTTATCTGATGTTCTATGAAAAAACAGTTACCTTTCTGCAGTCCCCACAGACTTAAGTGCCAGCTTTCAGCTGCACAACTAAGAAATTTTTTTTGTCTTTGCCTGTAAGCTAATTTCTTTCTTCCCTCCTGACTCCACTCATTCTCCACATCTCTAGTTTGAACTGATGGATCTCAAGTTAACAACACTGTGCAAGGAACATTTTAGGGCTAGTCTTGCCAACACCTCTTACAGTTCCCTTTTCCAAATGGAAATATGTTGTGGGATGCTTCCAAGTAGTACAATCTGTTTAAAATCAACCTGAAATAGATTTCATTGAAGCACCACCTGGAAGGCCCTCTGCACCAAAATTATTCCTGGTGCCCATGGTCCATTGCTAGCTGCAAAGGGTCCCTTCCCTTCCTGCACAACAAGACCCATCCCCATATTTTCTGATATCGACTCCAAGCCACCTGCCTCACAAAAGCTGCTTTTGGCCTTTGCGTCATTTTGCAGAACGCCCTTGGTGCAACAGCACTTCCCTGCTGAGGGCCCTCCAAGGACACCTCCAGTCCTGCTTCTCCCAGAGGCTTAATTTCCCTCAGTGCAGCCTTTCACACCATCTGCCTTCTGTAGTGGCACACAGATCTCAAAGGTCTTGGAGAAAATCACCTCTGATTCAGCCACAGGCTCCCTGGAACACCCTGATGTGGGACCGCCTCTGGCTTCCTGCCTACCCCCTTCAAAGGGGTTATAACCCTTGGCTGGGCTCCATAGCCCAAGTGTGTACAGGTGGGAGAACAAGATTGCTCCCTTTAGAATTGAATTTCAGCACAACATTGCTGGGACGCAGCACTGAGGCAGAGTGGGGCCAGGGCGATGGGAGCCAGGCCTGGGATGGAGCCACCAGGACACCATGTCCAGGAAGGAGCCTTGCCATTGTGCCTCTCACAAACACAAAAACAAACACAAGCAGCTTTCCAGGTCCTGTTCACCCCCACAAAAGACAGAGACGCCCCGGGTTATTTCCCATGGTGTGTGTCAGTCGGCTCAGCAGGGTCGGTCATCCACTGGGTGCTTTGCTGAGGAAGAATGAAGGCATTAGGCCACGGCTCAGGTGGGGTGAGCAGGTGGGGAGTAGCTGCTCCTCCTCACTGTCCTCCTGTTACCACAGTCCATTTCCCCACAAAGGGTCATTTGTAAGGATGGCAAAGGCCCAGAGCAGAAAAGGGAGGAGGATTTCCCCACCCTCCTGCTTTTGGAGGTATAACCTACCTCGGCTGTTACAAGATCTCTTTTCTGTCGAGTTGCATTAGACTCAGTTCTGGAAGAAAACAAAAAGGATCTTGTATTATCAAAGGTCCCTGGAGCAACCTGAATAAGCAAGTCCCCAGAGAGAAGTGTTTCTCTCTGATTACCATCACTTTATCAAAGAGGTCTTTCTTAGGTTAACATTTAAAAAGGTGATTTTTTTTTTTTTTGGTCAGTGTCTCATTTTACAGAATTGGGCAGCTCTCCAATCTCTGCTTAGACAGGGAGGTACCTGGAGCTTTGGGGAGACATAAATAGGCAAAACAGACTTACACAACAGGATACAAAATTGTAAAGCAGTTTCATATTTACTTCATGTGGTATGTCAGTGGCTACAAGTTCCCCAGAGTGTTGCTTGAATATACTCTGATGGTACTTTTGATAGCAAGAGATGACTCTCCAGCTGTAGCCAACTTTAATTTGTGATTAAGTTTAGAAACAAGGGCATCAAACTATAAAACACACTTAGTTCTATCAACACTTCATGATGGCATATCATTTGACATGCCTGTGTGTCCACTAGATGTTATTAGAAATCATAAGACACACAAAGCTACATCCAACTTGATGCTTCCATTGAAATTGATGGCATAGATCCCATTTAATTCAATGGGATCAGGAACATTGCCTAGTTTGGGTTTTGTTTGGATTTCAGCTTCTATGTGAAAATTAGTATTCAAAATGTTTATTTTAAGGCTGTACAGCACTTACTTCTCTGTGCTTCAAATAGCAGCTAGGATTTTATCATGCAGTTAAAACTGTAGATGGATACTCATTTAATGTATTTTTCCAGTCATGAAATCATGATCTCATGCTGCTTTCATTCCATTATTCCTCTAAGCTTTCTCGAGACCATAGAAGTATCATTTTTCATAAGGACCTCCATTTTTCAAACTGAGGACCAATGCCCATTACATAAATACTTGGGAAAGAGTTCTAAACATTCTGAAAGTGTGTTCTACATCCAATCTGCATGTAGATGACATTTTACACATTGTATTCAAGGCTATATTTTACTTTCTAACTTGCACTGCATTTGCTCATTCTTGTTCTGTTTGTAGGACTTGAGAAATAAGGAATAAAAACTTACCTCAAAGTTCTTCTCAAAAGAGGAGGCTTGCAATAAGATACTGTCAATTAAAAAATCACAAAGTTAAACATTTTTTTCTATAGCATCACTCTGCCTTTGGCAAGCAATGTCAAGTTTAAAACAACGTTATTGAATTTTAGGGTTTAACGACCCTGAGTTTTCCAGGGCATCTTTGTACAAACTCTGTATCCAAGGAATGTAGCACTATATGCACTCCTTCCTAACAATTCGATTCTCTCACACGGTCTTTACCTGCAGATTTTCATGGCTGTCGTTCTGGTATGCGCTACCATGAAGAAGTAAAAAGAGTTCATAGTTCTTTAGAGGCTCAGAACAAAAAAAATAGAACAGGTAAACAGGTAAAAAAGAACAGGTACTCAGAGCTTTCCAGAATCAAACCTCCATAGTTAAAATACTTTTCTGACTGTTGCTTAGAAGACTGAATTGCAAATAATTTTAAATGAGTTCATGCTTAAAACAAGCCAGCAAATAAACAAAATCAAAGAAAACCACAAAAAAAACTTTTAATATTACATTAGAAATCTTTATAATTGTAGCAAGGAAACTATATTTAAGATCCAGTTACATTACGTAGAAAGTAAGAAAATTTCTATAACTAGAAGAGCAATTATCTACCCTAACAGTCTAAAAATGTTTAAACAAACTGCAGGTGCAGTCTTCAAATAAACTCTTACCTCATTGAAAACCATTAAATGCTACTCATCTGACAATAATAGCAAGAAAGGCAAGAAAGTTAGACTTTGTTAATAAATAATTATTTTCTAACAAATTCAGATGTACAAAACGACTCTTAAAAATTTATATTTCAGTTTCTGCACCTGTGAGAGAGAATGGTGATATATACTTGTTTAAATTGCATTTAAAAATTCCAGCAAGGTCAAAAACAAAAAGATAAAAAAATAACTAGCTGTAATATTAAAATATTTAGAAAAAGTTTGTAAAAATTAGTATTACTACAAAAAAAATAGAATAAAAATCTTACCTTGCAAAGTGGACAGCAGTGAATGAAGCAAGAATATACTCCATGGTATCATTAAACTGAGCTTTCCTACAATGTTCATTTCAGTATAAATTGGAAAAAGGTAATTTATCCAAATTAAGGGCTTTGATTATAGGGCATCTTACAACTGTGTATTTCTACAGTGTGTTTAAATCTTCAGAGGTTAGATAATTGGACTCATTACTTTAAAGAATGCAATGTAAAAGAGGAAAAGAGCAGGAGACATCAAGCTTGGTAACTACATGCAGCTTCAGGAGCTTTGCGAGTACAACTTCCTGGCTGCATGTGTCTCATTAGCAATGCATGGTAGCTCCTCAGCACAGCCTGTATTAGTTACACTTCCACCAGACCTGCGAGTATTACTCCCCTGTTGAATTGAATTGGCCCTTTATAACACAGCAGACAATGACAGAAATGTTGCCATGTCATGGTGGTTTGAGAGATCCTTCTGTCGTCACACACCTTTGTGTGCATTGAGGCTTGAGCTGAGGGCTATTCTCTACTCCTTAGTACAGCAACATTTTTTTGCAAGATCCTGAAATAATACCACTATATAATTATAACTACATGGTTTTACATATTAACACATTAATGTTTTTTCTCTGTCCTGAAAGGAGAGGGATGCACTTCTGTTAAATAATATATCTGGTTTTTTAAGAATATTCTGGATGCCTTTCTGGGTACAGTTTGCCTGTAGCACAAAAGAAGGCTTCTCAGAGGATAACTATATTTTAGTTTTAATAAATCATGTTATGAAAACTTCACATTAGGAAAAAGGAGAAAGAAATTGACAGGGCCAAAGGGTTTAATTTCTATTTTTCTTTAAAATATAAACCCACAATTTTACAAAAATTAAAAATTATGTTTTAAAATAAAAGTCTCTTACCTGCTTTGCCATAATGTAAACAGAATCATCAAAAAGCACAGCTTTAAAAACACTTATAATGCTACTCCAAATTGTTGCTGCTCATTTTGTTTTGCAAAGCCTATCATTTGCCTATATTTTGTTCTTCCTAGGAGGTGCTTTGTGAGACTCTCTGAGCATGCTACAGAAGCCATGGTAGGACCCAAATAAAATTCAGATGCTGATGGCTTCTCTTGGGTAAAAACATCCTTTCTTCCAGCTCTTTCTCCTTCCTGTTCCCCATATGGACAAGAAAGAGCAAATGAAAACTCAGCCTCTGCAAGCACAAGGACAAAACCCCGTGTCCACAGAGCAGCCAACAGCATTGGAGAAGGTTTGGGGTCACTGATGGTGCAAGGGTACTTATTGGAAACTGATGCGTAACACTACTACGTACCCTGTGTGGAGTATTTAAGAACTATTTTTATTACTATTGGATCTGAGAAGCCAGCACTTCCATAGTTGCATTTCAAGGGAGTTTGTTGCTTTGTTTTTACCTCTATGGCAGTAGCTATGGTCTGTGCCCATGGATTGGCTGTTTGTCTGCAGCTGGACTGCATATCGCAGCTCAGCTGCGCCTGCTGTATGTGCACCTGCAGTATGATCCAAAACCACTCCACACCACAAACAGAAGCAAAAAAAGTGAATTCTTAGGCCATATGGAAACATTGATATAGTCACTCGCAGACTTTTAACTCTTATGCCAGAACTTATAGAAAATAGACTTTTAAGACTGATCTCAAGATGAGATGAAACCAAACATTACATCTTCCAAATTCCATTACTAGTCTCTCTGTTATCTTACTGTCAAGTTAAGTCTGGTTTAGAAACTCTTGAAAACTCAAGCTCCTTTGAGACATCTGATTTGGTATTCCTCCCTTTCTCAAAAGTGTATTTCTCATTATGATTCATATGCAGTTTCACAGCTAAATTAATGTAATATTAATAGAAATGAACTCTTTTGGTTTAAAAGGGGAAAGAAAAGCTATCCAAAATAGCACTTATGTGAGTTTTGTTTGGTTTTGGAATTTTGTAAACAATTTTTCTATAGCAAAGTTGGTATATGCAGTATTTCACAGTTGTTTAACTTTTAACATTTGAAAATAGGCCAAGCCTTACTATCCGCAGAGGAATTTTGTAAGAGTTAAAGCAATAGGCTTCATAAAGTTTAGACATTTCAGCCCAAGGCAAGGTAGGAAACAGCAAAGTCCCAAGCATGTTAAGGATGTCAGCTAAGGAAAAATAATTACTCAACCAAGTACTCTGAACTGTAACTCAGAGGAGCATATTAAGAAAGAGATTAAAAAATCAAATCAAATTATATCAAGGCAACAACATGTATTATCTACACAAGTATTAGAATACTCCCCGACTGGCATGTCTGAAAAACTTGGAAAAAAAGCACTAGAAAATAATTGCTTTTGTAAGAAAACAAGCACAATTCAGAACACACTTGTCCATACTTAAAAAAAATGCCAGTGTTACATTTTTAAGTTAGATTTTTTTTTCTTCAAAAATAAAATTTAAACGTTTAAGTGGTAGTATATTTGTACATTCAAGTAAAAAAAAAAATCTCCAAATTTTCCAACGTAATGTTTGAGACTACTTAAATTTATATAGACATCACAATCTTCATCAGCATAATAAAAAATGGATAAAGAAATAACTGCCTTCTGTGCCATGAGCACAAGCTTACCCTGGTTTGAAAGGGGGTCCACTGTCATTGTTAACAAAACATGGTATTTTCAATGAAGAATTTAAGTGAGGCTGCATTTCGTTGTGCACAGATAATCTTCCTAAGGATTAACACTGGTGAGCCTAATGAAAGAGCTGAGGTGAGGGGCATTTCTTCTTTTCTGAGAACCATCTCCCCAGCTGCTCAAGAACCTTCCTAATGGTTTGAAGATCAAACTCTTTACTGTTTCTCTGGTCAGAGTGGATGCTCAATGACAAGTGCTTGATTATCATCCCTGCAGACCCAGAACAGGAGGAAAGGAGACATTTTTACAAACACCGTCAAACTTTACAGTGGTTACAGTTTCCCAATGAAGTTAAGCCCTCTAGTGGGTGATTAGTAAGCAATCTCTCAGAAAAAAAATATCTTCAGACATCCAGACAGACAGCAGCCCAATTCTACAAACATTTCTCATTTAGAAAGCAAGTGTGTGGGAATGACATCACTCTGCAGGATTAACAGGGCATTTTTATAGGATCAGAGTTCCATTCAGAAAGCATTTTTATTATGTTTAGAGTCTTCTGGTTGAAGAAATGACATGCAGATATAATCTCTGAATATATTAGTAGTAATGCAAGTTTTATTTTCAGCCTTTCCACAAAAGAATAGCTAACAATAATCCCCAATTGTTACAAGTTCTTCTGTGAGCAGAAGAAGATTCATCAGGCTTCCTCGTAACTGTGAAATCCACATCTAAGGTTACTGGCATCAGGTATTCCATCTCCCCCTGCCTCATTAAGTTTCACCACCACAACTTTGCATCATCTCTTTTCCCCTCCATCCCACAGACCTAACAGCCAGACAAGAATCAGTTTTGCACAAGCCACAGCATAGGGTAGGTATGTGCCAACTGGCAAGCCAGGAAGCATCTCCTAAGCAATGAGTGAGCCATTGCTTTTCAAACAGCCAAACAATCAGAGATTTTATTTTCCCACAGCTGAACCTAATTAACATCAAGACCCAAGTTTTCACAAAACTCATAGGAATTCAAGCAATCAAACTCAGCTCTGCATAGCACCTTTTCCTTGGAAAACCAAGCCAGGAGGATGAGTGTGGCAGCTTTCAGCAGCCCAAGAGCTTAGAGCGCAGGAAAGGGGGACTGAGGAAAGCAGACCATGCATCTTGCCAGACAGGAGTCTGAGATGGAGTATCCCATTTGCTTTGTGTAAAACCAAATAACCCAGGTATGTGAATTGGTGATAGAACATACAAGTCTCCTCTGCTTCAACAGAAGCATGAGAGGTTTGAATACAAGCATTGCACTTCTATTCAAATTACAGAATGCAGTTATTTCATGGCAGAAACTGATAGCTAAAATGGGGAGATGGATGCGGAATTCCCTTTTTAGAAGGAACTTGATGCACATTTAACTCTTAAATAACTGTGAGGATACCTTTAATACTCTTCTACTGAAAAAGCAGAGACCTCATGACAAATGCTTAACAATAAAAAGCTGTAAGCACCCGTTTTATTAAACTACAGTGAAAGGGTGGATTTTACTATTCATTCAAATTCCCCAACACACAAGGGAAGCTGTTTTGTGTTGACGAAGTACACTGAAAAAAAATTTCCCATTAAGCAAATTAGAATAACATGCTAGGAGAAAAGCCCAACATTTAAAAATCTCAAGCTAAGGTACTCCTATGACAATTCCAGTACTGCCATACAAGTATACATAGACATTAAAATACCAGGCTTGGAGAGCAACAGAGCAGTAGTCTCCAGTATTTCTTCTAGTTCCACTCCAAACTGGCTTACAAACACAGGAAACAGCTCAGGGCTGTACTCACTCCATTTGGGTCAGTTTGTATCCACAGCCTCACTCCGTAATTTGCATATCTTCCAAAGGACAGAATGAGTCTTTTTAAGACTATTGTTGGCCCATCCCACATTTACTCAGAATTTAGTTTTGGTCCTTGGGTAAATGGACAGGATCTGAAACTTCTGTATTTAATATGCACATCCTGTAGCCAAATTTTTGAAAATCACTTTCCAACTCACTTTTTTCACCCTTTCTTCCTCCAAGGCTTTCAAATTGCCTCACCTAGCTCATAACATAAGCGGTTACTCCTCTCGGCTTGTACTGTGTGAGCATGTGGTTGAAGGATTAATTACTCAGACCTAATCTTAAAACACAAAATCCTTGATCTATTTTTACAAGACACTGTGTTTAAATATTTTAAGTTTCCTACATTTAGATGTACTAGTCCAGGATTCAGTCGCTGCATTATCTGGTAATGCAAGTTGCCCCTGTAATTATTTTGGTTTTGGCAACATTAACTACAGAAGGAACCACTGTGTTGCATGTGCCTGCCAAATCCAGGATGTGAGCCTTCTTTATGTTTGGACAACCACACATTCCTCAAAATAAAGTTTTTCTCTACTCCCAAAACCCTACCTAGCAGAATTACTATGAAAGGATAAAAAAAAGAACTGCCATTAACACACTGATTCTACTGTAATACAAATCCCTTTGTGTATTAATCTTAACACACAGTGAAAAAATCTATTTACCCATCCAAGAAAAGGCAATTTAGAAACATGAAAAATTATCAAATTCTTTCTGTTTATTGACTGCCACATGACTAGACACCAATTTTAACGGTAAGACTTCTGGTAGCGTGCACGAGCACCAGGTCCTCCAAATTTCTTGGATTCACAACGGCGAGGATCTGCAACAAGCAGAGTCCTATCATACTGGATTAGAATATCCTTGATCTCTTTCTTGGAAGCTTCATCAACATCTGTTTAAAAATAAAAAAAAAAATCTTTTGTTTAAGCCGTTTCACATGGAACAAATCCATATT